ACTGTACTTGAAAGATTTTTAAGATAGAGTTCCTGGGATTTGCAATGGATTGATTATATGAAGGGTGTATAAGAGAGAAAGTTGCCAAATCCAGGGCCTCATTTTTTCCTTTCTTTTCTGAGCACGCAATTTAAACTGAGGCCAAACTAGTCATTCATCTTCAACTCTGGTACCCCTAACACCAAGCCCAGCACAACAACAACTGTTGTTTATGCTGCTGTTAACAATGAGTTTCTCTAATTCCAAATAACAGCACCACAGCGTGGGGGCTTCCTTCATTGTCCTGTGATTGACAGCAGTCTGTTCATCAGGTTTGGAAGACCTGCGAGATATAACACGCACATCAGGGGTCTTACCCTTAGCGGCCTCTCTTTCCCCCTCACCCTCTTTCTGCTCTTTTATCTGAACTGCAGTATTTCATTTTTTCAGCTGAAGTAAGCAAACTTTTAAATGCTCATCCATATAACCCAAGAAAGAACATGACCTATCTGAAAACATGTGATGAAACTTCAGTGTGGCATTCGTCATTCCAGTCGTGCACTGCATAATGATGTTTCAGTCAACCATGAACTGCGTTACGACAGTGGTCCCCTAAGATTAGTACCGTATAGCCTAGGTGGGTAGTAGGCTACACCATCTAGGTTTGTGTAAGTACTGTAGGGGAGGAAGAAATTTTCCTCCACCCTTCTAGGTTCTTCTGGCTGGTCTAAGAATTAAATTGACGTGGGACAGAATAGCAGGAGAAAATCAAAGTTTAATAACATGCGTACATGGGAGAAACCCAGGGAAACCAAGTAACTTGCCACCAAAATGGCCAAAGCCCTCACCTTAAATACCAGCCTCAGCTAAAGACAAAGAAGATGTTGGGGTGGGGAGAGTCAGGGACTTCAAAGGGAAGGAAGGCAATTCACAGAAAGGTGAAAAGGAGCAAACGTTTGGAAAACAAGTGTTTTTTGGCCACACAAAAACAGAAGACCACAGAAGGGAGCCGGATAAACAGGCTTTTCTAGGTTCTTCCCTGTCTACACTCTACTTCATGTTATGCTCAAGCGATAGGTCGCTTCCTGAGACAAGGTTTTTAATCTGAATTCTTTTAGGCAGTTAACGGGGAGGGAACAAGAAGAAGTTTGAGTCTTTTATTTCTTAAAAATAATCATGTGTTAAAGAGACACACTTTGGGGTGGCAAATTTTGTTCCCCTTCGGAACACTCTATGCTGCTCACACAACGACGAAATTGCTTACTGGTGCATTTCTCAGAAGGTATTCCCAGTCGTTCAGCAACGCGTGACTGTACTTCAAGACAGATTGGCAAACACCTTGGTCAGGGCTGATTATAATACTTTGGGGTCCTGTGCCTGTAATTCACAGAGCTGCCACCAAGTGGCGCCTGCAAACTTTAACAGGCTCGTCCTCTGCAGGCACATGTACAGAGCGAGAAGGAACACAGCAGAAAATCCAGTCTTTTTTTTTTCTTGAGGAACTTGCAGTTTATAGAAATGAACCTCATTAGAAACTATACTCAATCACATGGAAAGAATAATAGCCTGGTAATTCGTAGTGAAAAAGCCTGTCTTTTAAGTGATTCCCCATCTCCCACCTTCTCTGCAGCTCACTGCCTGTTATAGATCTCCTCCTCATCATATCTCCCCCATTCCCACAAGACCAGCCTCTGAACACGAGCCTTGCATTCCCTGCCCCTCACCAATCCCACCCAGTCCTTTTATTTACCCCGCAGTGATCTTTCTAAATCACAAGTTTGATCACGTTACTCTGCCACTCAAAAATTTGCCCCCTGCTGTCTACAGAATGAAACTGAACTTGAAGGTCCTTGAGGGTCTGGGCCCAGTTTGCCTTTATATCGGGATTTTCTCCCACACTACTGACTCAACTCCATTGACACTGACCACACTTGGGGTTCCTTTTGTAAGACGTAAATTCAAGCCTTCGCTTCTCTCTGTGCTCTTCTTTCTGCCTGGAATGTGCTTTCCTCTTCCCCTGGAAACTCCGTGCTGATCCTCCAATGCTCAGCTCAAAGCACCTCCTCTGTAAGATCTTACCCACCTTCCCCTCACCAGCTCCCCTCTGTGCTGCCAGAGTAATTTTTAAAACCTCATGTGCCTCTATTACGGCACAGAAGCTAATAACCAAAGCTACTCTTTGTTAGGGACTTTCTATGTGCCATGGACTCCTCGAGGCCCTTTCTCTGTCCAGTAATGTGAATATATGTCTCCCAGACGAGACTACTCGAGGATCGAGTTTTGTTTACATTCTGCAACCTTTCAGGGTTTAGTAATGTGCCAGAGGCATAGTAGATGCTTATGCATTACCCAAAGATTTTGGTTTTGACCTTGTTGGTTCTCAAGCACCTCCTGATGATTGCAAGAATTCCTGTAAGATTCTATAAGAATTCTGAAAAGACTAAAATAGGCCCCCTTTCACTGGGATGAGGTTTGGGGAATGCCTCACTTTATAAACCATGGGCTACGCCACAATTTACCGCAGAAGGAAAACCAAGTCACTCCTCTCTCCTGTTAAGAGCATTTCCAACTTTCTGGCATTAATTGTAGATTTAACGTGCTTTGGATAGTAAGAGAAAATGTAATCAAGTTACCCAAGGTGTTGTGAGGTTCTATTCACATGTATGCTCAATAAATAACTCAGTTATTGTCTTCCCTTGCCCTTCTCCCTTACGCAATTTAAAATGTTTTAGGAGTTCTCATACAAAAACAGAGAGAAAGTGAAAAATTTTCCCTTCACTCTGAAAAGTTGCAAGGGTTACTAGGTGTTTCTATGCAGTTTGTTGGAATTAAGAATGTCACAGATAAAGGGAATTGGGTGGATTCAGCTTTCTTCTCATGATGCTTTGACCCAGAAAGATGGAACATCTGCAAACACCTACTTGTTCTTGTAACTGCAGGGGGAAGAGGCTAATCTAAATGCCCACCATGGGAACTCAGGAGTGTGCGGGAATATTCTTCCCACGAGAAAAGGAGAAGGTAAAAAAATTATGGAGATAGTTAGATGATAGACTGATTGATAGATGTGTAGTCAGGCCCTTTGATACCCGGATTAAGACTCTTAAACAACGTAGGGAGACCAAAATTAATTCCTGTCTCTGGGATAAGAGCCCTGAATATGCAGAGACACCCTGCTGAGAACCAAAGCAGGATGATTTAGTTCAGGGTCAGAGGGGAAAAGTAATTTTTAGGATAAAACTACATAGTACCATTCAAATGTCTTCCAAAGAAACCCCAGGAATCTTGGACCTAAATTCCTCAAGACAGGAGACTAAAATACCAGCGGGGCATGTGTCTGTCCTGGAGCCTAATAAAGAGCCACAAATACTGGTGTGAAGTGAAGCCTTCCCCAGCAACTCCAGAAAAGAACAACAGTGACGGAAGGGAATCGGCAGCAGCTACCAAAGGAAGCCCCCCAGCGGGCAAGCGAAGAGTATCATCAATGGTGATGGGAGAACCTCAATGGCCACTTGAGGGGAAGTGAAATACGTGACTAATCTAGGATGAGAGAAACTGCAGGGGGATTGGATTTCCGCTTGTTTTACTTGGTGTCCAAGGACAGCTGGAGTTAGGTTACTTATTTAAGGATTAAAGAAGAACAAGAAGTGTAGAAAAGCACAAAACGCTGGAAAACTTATCCATCAGGTGTGCTGCCCAGCCATTTTGCCCAGACTTGGTTCAATCTGGTATGTGCGTGCGTTGGGGGAAAGTAGCTTAGAAGCATTTCCACGTATCTTGCTATGTTGTACTATGATTTGTTGTTTGTGTCTGTCTCTCTTGCCAGACTGTGAACTATTTGGGAGAAAAAAGCATGCATTATTCATTTTTTTAACCTCTAGAACCTAACTCAGGATCTGGACTGCTGGTTGATCAACAAATCCTGGCAAATGAATGAATTTATGAATGAATCAGTGGGTGAATGGTTGAGGACATAGTTTGGCTCTTTCTTTGCCCCTGAAGCCTGACTCCATGTGCTGCTTTCTCAAATGTATTTCAGTGATCACAGACAAATTTTACCGCTAGCGCAATCCTTTGCATTTTAAAGGTGCAGGATTGAGAACAATCGCCTATCTATGCAGGTGGGGCTGGAAAGGACTGATTTACGGTTGACAGGCCCCTTCAGTGGGCACAAGACAAAGACTGTTTTTCGACTTTGTCTCCCGATGCTGTCTGCAGACTAAGCCCAGCCTCCCACGGCTCTGAAATTGGACGAAAGCACCACCCACCTCTATTTTAACTCTTTCATCCAGTGGTTTTCAGGCTCTGGGAATGGGTGGACCAAAGGGAGCTTAGAAGGAATGCATGACAGGGACCCTGCGGCAGCTTCCTGTGTGGACCCATGGGCGTCTATATGAAATCCTGCACAAAGTAGGCAAGTTACCAGTGTATTTTTTGTTTTGTTTTTGTTTGCTTTGCTTTGTTTTATTATGAGCTTGTTATCATCATCACCATCATCATCAAAACACCTGTGAGGGCAATTCAGGTTTTAAATAAGCAAACCACAAATATAGGCAAGCACATAAGAGTATTCATGAACAGAAAGGTGATACTCTCGGACCCAATCTCTGTGTGGATGGACACCAGGTGAAGAGCTTGGGAGATGTATCTTTTCCTGTGGAACATCTTTGAATTTCGTGAGGAGCTTGGAGATAACTCACCCCTACAGACGGGCTATGGAGAATCCCTGAACAGGACCTCTGTTAGCAAAAAACCCACTCTTGTTTCTAGGATAATTATAAATTAGTTGACAAGTTTTTGTGATTCCAAAACGATGAGAACATTTTTTTGTGGTGCAGTTATTTTAGCGTGTGCGAGGGTGGAATTGTTTTGGTCCACAGCTGTCTTTCAGCCCTTTACAATTACCCTACTATGTTCAATTGCTTTAAAAGTAATTAGATTTGAATGATTTAATTATGGTGATTAAGATTTCTGTAAAATTTGCAAGTCTCGAACATTTAAGCTTCTACAATACACTGTGGCACTTGGCATCTTGTGGAAAGAAATTTATAGGTGGTTTGGTAACCTATGAAGTTCAGAACCTGTCTTGTTCCAGCCTCCAACCCCCCTGGAGCCTGAGGGAGAAGAGGATGAGTACAGGCAAAGAGCCTATGGGGGTCTGACCCGGTGTCTTGTTGGCCAGCGTGTGGCTCAGAGGGTCTCTCTCACCTGGAGTGTGCTGGCCTAAGGTCTGGCCCCCCAGCAGAAGGGGAGATTTCCTGGGCTCCATTTTGCCCAGTCCACACTGAAATCTCAGGTCTCTGAAACTTCCCCTTCAGGGAGAAGGAGGGCAAGCCTAAGGAAAAGTATTCCAAACAAGAGATGGAGCTGAATGCTGCAGCAAGCTTTCTAAGCAAGAGATCCTCATTCACCTGAAGAACCTTGGCGAGTGAGTCCACACTCAAGGAAGTCCACAGGGCTGCCAGGGCGGTGGGAGCTCATGGCCACAAAAAAGGAAGCAAAAGCTGCCACCAGACGACAAACCAAAAAAAAATCGTGTCTGCATATAAGACTTTTTCGTAAACGTGGTGCTGCCCCTGGGCTCACTTTTATGTAAGTAGGGAAACGATTCATACCGTCTAATCAGTCCTACCCAAAGCTAGTGTTGTATTCATGATGGACTTTATGGTCTTTGGATTAAATCTGCTTTATAGGAATCAAATAATTATAAGCAAACAGCCAAATGTTGTTTCATAGTTATTGAAGCAGTGAACATGTGTTAAACATGTTTTTTACTGTAGCTACCCAACCCTGGCTAATCACTGGAAACACCTGGGGAGCTTTCTGGTTGGCCCTTAGAAATCTGTATTTTTCAATGTCACCGGGTCTTTCTGATGGGCAGCCAGATTTGAGAACTGTACGTGCCATGCCATGCTGCCTCCCCAAATAGGTGTTTTGCTTATGCTCATAATTTCAGTGTCTTTCCCTACGTTCTCCTTTTAAATACAGCTATTCTTCAGCTGCATTTCATGTCTCTTATCTTGGATGAGACCTTCTCTGAATACAAGCAAAGTATTCTCTATTATCTGAATACTTACAGAATTGATTTTTCACTTAATATACTTAGTAATCTTTTAAGGTCTGTAAATCTGGTGTCCCCAGACCAGGAGGCAATCAAGTGTATATCTATTTAAGTTCTCCAAGAGATTAAATGCCTCATAAACAGATGCTCAATGTATATTTGCTAATTTTCTTTTTTAAAATAGAATTCCAAACCTAAACTGGTTAATGTTAAATACTTTCACTTTGAGCCTACTTAGAAATTTGTCTGTTGCTAAAAAGAATACGAAATTACGGTGAAATTGATGGTCCAAGTGGCAATGATGGGGATTCTTTTACAAAAGAAGCCTAAGGCTTGATAACACTGAAAGGGATTGTAGGCTCTCTCTGCGCAGATTTGCGCAGAAGTGTAAGAAAGGTGGTATAGCTTTTTAGTATCAAGTGAAGTAGACTTCAAGCAAAGAGATTATCACTGATAATGAAGGGCGCTTCATAATGATAAAAAGATTAATTCATCAAGAAGACAAAACAAGCATAAACATATACATACTGGATAATTTCAAAATAAGTGAAATAAAAACTGTTGGAATAAAGGGAGAAATAGAAAAATCAGCAATTACCATTAGAGATTTTAACATGCCTTTCTCAGTAATTGATAGAATAGTCAAATTCAGGACAGATAAGAGAATTGAACGAACAACACCTTGACCTAACATAGCCAGAATACTACCACAACATGCAGAACATACATTCTTTTCCAGTGTGTATGGGACTTTCACCAAAACAGACCACGTGCTGGGACATTACATTTCAAAAGGCAAATATTACACAGTATGTTCTCTGACTACAATTAGAGATAAATAACAATAATAATACATTTGTAATACATAATAAAACAATAGCTAAGTTTTGCAGTTTTATAAGCATATTTTGTATTTGGATCCAGTCATTTGATTTCTCTCTTCATATATATTCTTTAGATCTGTCATAAATAGGCCTCACCCCATTGGTTTATTTTGAACGTTGTAAAACGGCAGCACTAGGCTCTTAGAAGCTATGATATTTGAATTAATTCAAAGAGCACCCGGCTGCGGTTCAGGTGACAGATCACAAGAAGAGTTAGCTATTAGAGGGACAATTAGGCCAAGTGCTCTGGTTTTGTTTATCCAGATGGCATATAAAGAATCTTTAAAATGTCCCCCAATTATTTTTATCTACTCTGCCAATCTCTGTCTTTTAATTGATGTATTTAGACAATTTATAGCTAATGTTAGGCCTTAAGTGTACCATTAATTTTTTGTTTTCTGTTTTTAGTTTGTTTGCTTTTTCCTGCCTTCCTGTGGGTTACTTTAACAGTTTTTAGAATTTAATTTCTATTTATCATTTTTACTTGTTATCTATAGTAGTTTTTGAGTGTGTCACTTTATATAGCTTATTTATTGACTACTTCAGGTATTGTATATGATATATCTTATCAGAGTCTACTGGTGTCAACGTTTTACCAGTTAGAATGAAGTGCGGAAACTTTATTTCACTTCACATTTCTTTGTCGTCTTCCATTTATAACATAGGCACACCTCGTTTTATTCTGCTTTGCTTTATTGCTCTTTGCAGATATTCTGTTTTTTATAAGACCCTCCACCAGCAAAAAGATTATGATTTGCTGAAGGCTCAAATGATGGTTAGCATTTCTTAGCAGTATTTTTAAATTAAGGTATGTGCATTGTTTTCTTAGACATAGTGCTATTGCACCCTTAATAGACTACAGTATAGTGTAAACATTACTTTTATGTGCACCGGGAAACCAAAAAGTTCACGTGACTCACTTGATTGCGGTGGTCTGGAACCGAACCCACAATATTTCCGAGGTACGCCTGTATAATTTTCTTAAATAAATATCGAATTTAAAAAGTTTCTCTCTATATATTGAGAACCAACTCAGACAGTGTTATAATTTTGGCTTCAATTGTCAAACTTAATTTAGAAAACTCAAGAGGAAAGAGGAAGTTTTCTTCACTCGTATTTTTGCTTTTCCCATTGTTCTTTCTTCCTTCCTGTTGTTCCAAGATTCCTTCTTGTATCATTTCTTTCTGTTTAGAGAACTTTCTTTAGGCCTCCTTTTAGGGTAGGTCTGCTGGTGACAAATCCTCTGGCTTTTCCTTCAGCTGAGAATGTCTTGATTTCCTCTTCATTCCTGGCGGATATTTTTACTGGATATAGAATTCTTGGCTGACAGCTCCTTTCTTTCAGCCCTTGAAAATTGTGTACTACTTCCTTCTGGCCTGTTTTGAGGAGCATCCACTGTCATTTGAATCGTTTTCCCTCAATTGGTAAAGTGTTGTTTCTCTCGCACTGCTTTCAAGAATTTTTGTTTGTCTTGAGTTTACAGAAGTTTTACTATGATGTGTTTTGGCTTGGGATTCTTTGGGTTTATCCTGTTTGCAATTTCATTCAGCTTCTTGAATGTGTAGGTTTATGCCTTTTGCCAAATTTAGGGAATTTTTCAGCCATATTTCTTTGAATACTTTTTTAGCCCCACTGTCTTTCTCCTCTCCTTCTGGGATCCCAGTGACACGGATATTAGATCTTTTGTTATAGTCCCATACGTCCTCAAGTCTCTGTTCATCTTTTTTTCCAGTCTATTTTCTTTCTGTTGTACAGATTGAATAATTTCTGTTTTATTTTCAAGTTCACTTATTATTTTCTCTGTCATCTCCATTCTGCTGTTGCGCCCATTCATTGAGTTTTTTATTTCAGTTATGCTATTTTGAGTTCCAAAAGTTTCATTTTGTTTTTGATATATGTTATATTTTTTTGCTGAGGCTTTCTCTTTCTTTGCTGAGACTTTCTATTTTTCAATTTGTGTCAAGAGTGTTCATAATTATTTGTTAAAGCATTTTTATAATTGCTACTTTAAAGTCCTTGTCAGATAATTCTAACATCTGTGTCATTTTTGTTTTGGCATCTGTCTTAGTCAGCTCAGGCTGCCATAACAAAATACCGTGGACTGGGTGACTTAACAGAAATTTATTGTCTCACAGTTCTGGAGTCTAGAAGTCCAAGATCACGGTGCCAGCAGGGTTGGGTTTTGGTGAGAGCTCTCTTCCTGGCTTGTAGATGACTACCTTCTCACTGAGTGTTCACATGGCTTTTCCTTGGTTGTGTGCGTGTGGAGAGAGACAGCAATCTCTCTCTCTTCTTCTTCTTATAAGGACGCTAATCCCATAATGAAGGCCCCATCCTCATGACTAAACCTAATAAATACCATCACATTGGGGGTTGCCATATGAAGTTTGAGACAAAATTCTGACAAACTTCAGTACATATCAGCATCTATTGATTTTTTTTTCTTATTCAAGTTGAGATTTTCCCGGTTCTTGGTATGACAAGTCATTTTCAATTGAAATATGCACTTTTTGTATATTATATCATAAGATTTTGGATCTTATTTAAACCATATGTTTTAGCAGGAGTCCTCTGACACTGTTACAGTGGGAGAAAGGAGGCATGGCTTGTTGCTGACAGGTGGGGATGGAAGTCCAGGTTCCCCAGTTGGCCTCCAATGATACTCAGCAGGGGGTGATTCCTCATTACTGCTGGGTGGAGGGTGGGAGTTCAGGATCCCCACTAAACCTTGCTGATATCACCCTGGTACCCTGTCATTACTCTCACCTGAAGGTCCCTAGCCTGTCTGCCTTTTGTTCTCCATCTTTCAGAATCTTCTTACTTTTCTTTTATATATAATGTCTAAGATTTTTAGCTGCACTTAATAGAAAGCATAGGGAGAAGTATGTCTACTCCATCTTTGCAGATGTGGAAATCTTAGAAAACATTTTCATGCAATGATAGTGAAAACATAATGTATCAGAATTTGTGAGATGCAGCTAAAGTAGTATTTAGTGAGAAATATGTAACTCTGAAGAAAACTTGTATATAAGAAAATAAAAATGATCTACAATTGATGATGTAAACTTTCACCTTGGAAAGTGAAAGAGAAAATTAAACTCAAAGTAACTAGAAAAAGGAAATAATAAAGATAAAAGCACAATAAATGAACTAGAGAACAAAACAGTAGAAAAATGCAATGAAACCAATAGCTCATTCTTTGACAATATCAACAAAATTGATGAACTTCTAGCTGGATTGATCAAGAAAAAAAGAGATAAGATGTAAATTACCAATACAATCAGTTCCCCATTATAACACATATTTTGAAATTTAAATTCTTTCCAACATGATTGATATATAGGGAACACTTTGAGCATAATGCACTTTCACATTTACTTATGTGTGATTTTGTCTACAGAGACCTAGAAACACTAAGTGAATGCAGAAAACTGCACCCAGCTGAACCGAGCCGCATAAGAATACACAAAATGCACACCTGTGCACATCTCAAACATCTACCAGCTACCTCATGTCACCACGTGTGTGATGAGCCACACCCATCCACATCTGGTGTTGGAAATTTCTGTCCAATTTTAGATAACTCTCCTTCCATCACTTCATAATAACTTACAAGCCACAGCCCTTCTGTTGCCCACTCCCACAAGCAAGCTTCAAGTCTTTTTTTCAAGGTAAAGTGCCATATTTACTGTAGTATTTATGTATTTCTTAACCATTTCATTTATGTAAAACTGCTACTTTTTAAAATAGATTCCTATTTTTTTTTGTTTTGTGTCACTGACGAAGTTTTCGAATGTTGTGCCTCTATTCCCATTTTTCCCATAAGCCTTGTGGTTTTTACTACGTAATTTTGTACAGCACAGTGATTTTTAAGAATATAGATACAGCATTATAGCAAAACTGACTGTACTTTACCGAGTGGTGAAATTTAGTGTTCTAAATAGTACAACCAGACATTACGTGCCTCCTGATATGTTGCAATATGAACTATACGGCATCACTTATGAAGACTTCCTACCAAAAATCTTGAACCTGAAACTATTCAGGCCTTTAGATCTAGTCTTCAGTGTAAAGAAAAACAGGGGAGAGAAAAATAAGTTAAATGACACCATGAGGAAACAATTAGATAAATGCAAAGTGTTACAGTCAACCAGATAGTTGGCTTGTCCAGATGGTCGGCTTGGTCTGATTGAATTCTGTTTTGAAAAAAGTCAACATTAGATACAATCAAATGTAGAGTACGTTTTTGGTACCATTGGGGCAATATACTGGAGACAGAGTGTTATATGATGTTATAGAGTTATTGTTAATTTTAAGAGTAATATTGTTATTGCCATCAAATCACAAAATGTTCTTATTTGGGGGCAAATGAAAAGCTTAAGTATTTAAAAGTGAAGTGTCCTGATGTCTGTAATTCCTTTAAAATGCTTCAGCAATTTATATGTGTGTGTGTATATACACACACATATATACATACATATATGTATATGGAAATACATACAAAAACATAAGAAAGCAAATATGGTAAAATGTTATGGGTGTTCATTATACTAATATTTTCACTTTTTGTATGTTTGACATTGTTCATATTTGTTATTTTTATAATTTTACAAAATTGACATCTAAGAGGAATTAAAATACTTTTTACCTGTTCTTTTTCACAGAAACTTCATGACTTCAGGGGTCCCCTTAGGTCTCGGGGTCAATTTATCCTGCCTGCGCCAAGTGGACACAGTCCACTCTCTCATTGCTCATGTATCTTTTGTTATAAAAAGCACTCAGCTTAGGCAGCCTGTGCCCATCTTTGGGATTCCTTGCATTCTTCCTGGATATAAGTCTCCCATTGTATTCCCTTGTCTGGTCCCACAAGGGAAATTTAACATAACTTTCTCTCATTTACTTGGATTTTTTTTCTTTAAGAAAAGAAGCAATCAGATCAGAGCAAAATCTGAAAAAGTAGATGGAGTTGTGCTTTATAGTCACCGGGAAAAGAGATGATGTTCTAGAAGCTTGGGACTTAGAGGAAAAGTCCTTTATGCCTTTAGCAAAGACTTGAGCATGGATGAGCAGCCCAAGGGGGAAGGCAGAGACTGGAGAACGATTGTAGAATGTGTATACCCGCGTCCTGCTTTCACGCAAAACTGGGCACAGCTAGTCTGTCTCTCCCAACTCCTTGACAACTTGGAGCTGCTGGATCTGAGCCAGGCCTGAAGGAAATGGATACCTGAGCATACCAGACACAGGGAGACAGCTCACGTGCATGCTGTTGCAGTGATTACAGACAAATCTCAGAGATGAAGGGCAGGGGGCATGGGGATCCAGGAGAAGAGTTAGGGATATTTTGGAGTGACTATAGGACTTTTTATTTTGCATTTTATTCTCCTTTAATTTTTCAATGAAAGAAGTGATTAACTGTTGTGCATCCAGAAATAGTTTAAGCTAAACATAGCGTAGCTGGCAGAGGTTGTTATAAAACAGAACTTGGATGTGGGAATGCTGCCTCTTAGCTGTAATCCTTCCCCTGGGTAAAGCGATGTTAATGCTGTGAACTTAAACCGAGGTCAGCCTTGAGAATGGAAGGTGAGATCTCCTCTCTTTAACTCAGGGGGGAAAACTCATTCTCATGGGTATGCAAACTATCTAAAGTTAGAGGGACCTTTTCTTTAATAACTATCATCTTTTTTAGACGTGAAAGAGACCACTGTTAAGAAGATTTAGTTCAGGGGCTGGCCGGTGGCATGGTGGTTAAGTTCGCACACTCTGCTTCAGC